AACTATAATATAGAGAATAGTTAAAATGAATGGTTAGTGAAAGGGACCATCACAAGGAGAAATTTGGGAGGAGGGTGGTGTCTTAGTCCGTTTTGTGCTGTTATAACAGAATATCCGAGACTGCATAATTTATAATGAACAGAAATTTATTTGGCACGTGATTGTGGAGGCTGGGAAGTTAAGATCAGGGGCTGGCATCTGGCGAGGGCCTTCTTGCTGCGTCATCCCACGGCAAAGGCAAAGGTGGAAGGGAAAAGAGCGTGCAAGAGCAAAAGGAAACCAAACTTGCTTTCACAATAAACCCGCTCCTGAGATAATGGAATTAATCCTTCCATGAAGGCAGAGCCCTCATTACCTAATCACCCCTCATTAGGCCCCACCTTTCAACACCGTTGCAAGATTCCAACCCATGAACTTTGGGGGACACATTCAAACCATCATAGGTAGGAACCAGTTAACATCCTTTACAGAAGAAAATCAAACATTATAAACTATAGCATGAAGCACCAAGGCTGAACATAAGGAAGAATTTGGTCTTGAAAGATAGGAAATATCATGGACTAATCTCTGAAAGGAGATTTTTTTGAGACCTCTAACTAACGGTTCCTAAATTTAATGTGCACAAGAATCTTCTGGGGAGCTTATCAGAACTGCAGATTTCAGCAGAGTTTCCTATTCAACAGGTCTGAATTATTATTATATTGATATTCAGAAATCTGCATTTCTATAAGCTCCCTGAGTTATTCTGATGTAGATGGTCTATGGCTAATATTTTGGCTATTGCATTACTGCTAATAATGCTACTCTAGATGGTTTGCCTGGGATAGCTTCATGTTTAGGATGTATGGAGGCAGAAGGATAGACTGAATTCCTTCCTTAGCCCTTGAGTCAACCTCAGAGGCAAGGTTCTCTACAAATGAGCTATTTATGTTTTTCAAAAAGTACCAGAATATGTGGAAGGACCTCAAGAGTTTTCTAAAATTTTCCAGGATATAAATTTAATAATAACTTTGTACAAATAGAGCTATTTTTCCATACCAGTTTAGCAATAACCTGACAAATGTTTATAATCTCTTCCACCGTATAAGTAGGATAATAATCATAGCTACTTCAGTGGGTAGTGGTGATGATGAAATGAGACAAGTTATGCAAAACAATTAGGACAATGCCTTGCATATTATAAAGTAGGAATTGTCAAACTTTTTCTATAAAGGGGCAGATAGTAAATATTTTGGGTTTTATGGGCCATGGTTTCTGTTGCAACTACTCAATTCTACCATTGTAGCTTGAAAGCAGCCTCAGACAATAAACAAGAGGGTGTGGCTGTGTTCCAATAAAACTTAATTTACAAAAACAGTTCTTGGGCTGGATTTGGCCCACTTTATAGTAAGTTTGCTGACACTTACTATAAAGGCTTGATAAATTTCATTATTATTAGTAATATAATGGCTTGCAAATAATCTCTAATAATTAGCAAAACAATCAATTTTTAATCAAGAACTCAGTATATATATCATTTACAATTTTTTAAAAAGAAATTTGCTTACAAGAGCAATGTAGAAAAATCTTGCGTGTAAATACTGGTATAATATCATTGAACTTTAAAGAAAAAGTCTTCACTACAGAGATTGCCATCCCATTGTTCCAGGCCCTTTAGGGAGAAATGGAGGCCAAAATTAAGAACAGTGTCCATAAAGCCTTGGGAGAAATAAGAGGAGAAATTTGCCAAAATCGTTAACATCTCTGACCTTCGTCTTCTCTTTGAAGGCCTTGGTCTGAACTCATGACATAGCTTATCACCCAAAACACAGGTCATGGAAAGAGCAGCTGTAATGAATGTTCCATAAACAGATGTTTATCTGCTGTTGCTCAATGTCTGTTGACATTGAATAGCTTGCATTTGTTTCAGACTTCAGTTCTAAAAAAATATTTGTCTCTCCTAACAGACTTATATACTTCATTTTATCAGATGACAAAGATTACATATTTTTAGCTTTTTGGCTTGGTTATCCGTAAGATTGGAACTAGATGCAAGACTCAATAATTATAATGCTTTTCATGTACTTGCAAGATACTATTTTCTTCCCAGATTCTTGTTTCTCCCAAATGTCAATGATCATCTTAAATGTGATTGCATAGGTATCTTTCATCATAATATTCTTTAAATGCTTTTTACATCTAGCTGAAATATAAACCGAAAATTATAAATAAGAGTAATTGGATCATATTTGCAAGGAGAAAGCTATTTTATGTGTAAAGGTCCTCCAAAAGTAACACATATATGATTATAAACAAAATAAACTGTTAATAAGTACTTTATTAATAATGGAGGTTTTTGTAAATAAGTATATTATGGGGCAAGGTTATGATCTTCAGTTCT